AAAGGCCGCCTCAAATGCACTCCATTTAAAGGGCACGTTTAAAAGGTGCAGCATGTTGGGAAAAGTTCTTAAAGAACCGCCTGTAGTATGAGCAAAGGCCCACAAATGATCGGACCTCAGACGGGGTATGAAGGGTGGGCCAGGACTGTACTTTGTCTGTGTTCCTTGGGTCTGGAATGAGGCCATCGCCAGAGACCACATGGCCTAAAAATACAACATGGTCTTTGGTGAAGTGACATTTTTTTGGATTCAGCTTCAGGCCCACTGATTGGATTCTGGACAGCACCTCCTCTAGGTGGGAAAGATGATCTGCAAACGTCAGGTTGTAGACCAAAATATCATCCAGATACACCATGCAGATGTGCCACGGCAGATCCCTTAGTACCAGCTCTATCATCTGCTGAATGGTAGCCGGTGAATTGGTCAGGCATGGCTTGCCCCTGATATAGGCCCCTCCCTGTCACAAAGGCTGTCTTTTCCCTATCCTCCTCAGCCACTTCCACCAGTACCCATTAGAAAAGTCAAGGGTAGTGAACCAAGTGCATCCAGCTAATGCGTCAAGGCTGTCATCCAAACAGGGAAAAGAATGGGAGTCCTTGAATGTCACGGCATTCAGCTTCCAATAGTCCTCACAGAACCTCCACTCACCCCCTTTCTTTCTAACAAGCACTACTGGTGATGTTCAGGGATTCCAACAGACAGCCCAACCACCTGACGATCGATTTCTGCTCTTTTCTCCAGAGAGAGCAATAGGCACGCTGTTTGATTGGGGGGTGATCACCCACCCTTATAGAGTGCTTTACAAATGTACACCGGCCTGTATTCAGTTTAGAAAGGTTGAACACATCGTTGAACTTGAGCAGCAGTGCCAATAGCTCTGCTCGTTGCTGCACTGTAACAGGAGACTCATCAAATGTGACTGGAAGCAACCGGGGTGAAAAAACCCCAATCTCCTCCTTCCCAGTCTGAGAGAGAGACGCGATATCAGCGTCCCCGATGGGGTAGAACGCCCCCATGTGTAACCCCTGCTTTAGTGTAATGGGTACACCTGTAGGGTTGAGCACACGAGCCAGTGTGACACCATCACTCACACTGGATACTATATGGGCTACCACCAGTCCTGTTGTGTATGGCACATTTGGCTCCATATAGCCATCGAAATAAGCAGCCGTCAGTGTGCCTACTGGGGCATGTAGGGCCACTGGGACCATGGCATCACTCAAGGGTGGAACTGTTATAGTGGTAGTCAGTGACACATTGCAGCACTCAGGGATTAACTCCCTGCTCTGTAGCAGGGGAACACTAATGTCCCATAACTGCAACATACTCCGGCTCAGGTCTAACAGTGCATGGTTCTCCCTATACTTTTATCTTTGATTTCATAATTGTACTATGTGTAAATGTTAGGGCTGTCAAAATTAATGGGTTAACGCGGATTAATCCATCATCATGATTAATCTGATTAAAATTTTTAATGCAATTAACCCATCTGCAGC